TAGGGAAAGTGCTGCGAGCAGTTTCAGGATGGGCAGCAGTGGCACCCAGCTCTGCAAAGGCAGGGAGCACTGCATCTGTGTGTGTCCCTGTCTGGGGATCAGTCAAACAGTTAGCATTGAGGAGCACAGGAGAGGGACGTGAAGGGACAGCAGCTGCTGTGCGTGGCACTGAGAGTCCTCGGTCCTGCGGCAGGTTTAACAGGGCATCCTTGATCAATGTGGGCTTCCTGGAGAGTGGCAACAACACCGACTACATCGCGATGCACGATGTGGATCTCCTGCCCCTCAATGAGCAGCTGGACTACAGCTTCCCGGAGGGAGGGCCTTTCCACGTGGCATCCCCAGAGCTGCACCCGCTCTACCACTATAAGACGTATGTGGGCGGCATCCTGCTGCTCACCAAGCAGCACTATGAGATGGTGAGTACATGAGTGGGACGTCCCGGTCAGTTTGGGGCAGAGGCTACGACATTGGTGAACAGTCGTACATTTTGTGCTCCACGCTTGGGAAGGGAGGAAGGGACTCAAAATGGTTTGGGGACAGAGCCCGCTGCCTGAGCTGGTGGGGGCAGGAGAGGGGAGGCTGCGCTGGTGCTCAGGGCTTGTCATACTGGTATCTGCTCCTCTGCGGTGCATAGAGTTGTGCTGGTCCAGGCCTTGGCCAGTACGATGGCCCTCTCATTTCAGTGCAACGGCATGTCCAACCGCTTCTGGGGCTGGGGACGGGAGGATGACGAGTTTTATCGACGTATCAAAGGAGCTGGTCTCCAGGTAAGGGGTGCTCTATGGCCTCCTAGGTTGAAATTGCCCTTCTTCTTGTCTCCCCACCTGGCCCCTGGCTGTAGCTGCCCAGGTCAGGACCTGGGGAAGGCAGCTCTTCTACGCTCCCCATCGTGGTAGCAGGTGCAGCAGGTTTTCCTGTAGCTTTACAGAAGCTTTGCTCTCCTTCCAGGTTCGCCGTCCCTCTGGAATCACGACTGGATATGAGACTTTCCAGCACTTGCATGACCCGGCCTGGAGGAAGAGAGACCAGAAGCGCATTGCTGCACAGAAGCAGGTGAGACCTCCGTCTGGCTGAGGGGAACCACGGGAGATTCTGTTTGTGATCACCACGTGCTCTGAGCCCTCCTTTCTCTTGTCCTCCCCTGTCAGCTCTGTGCTCCCTGCGTAAGCACTGGGTGCTTCCCCCTCTGCTGGAAGCCAGCGTGGGCTGAATGGTCTTTCTCTTCTGCAGGAACAGTTTAAAGTGGATCGTGAGGGAGGTCTGAACAACGTGAGGTACCAAATTGAGTCACGGACAGCTCTGAATGTGGCAGGAGCCCCTTGCACCGTCCTTAATATCTTGCTGGACTGTGACACAAGCGAGACGCCTTGGTGCACGTTTGGCTGAGCCCATCTCCCGTGTGCCGGTGATGTGCGCTGCGCTTGTGCCAAGACGCCGGTGCTGCTGCTGAGCTGCTTTGAGCAGGCAGGATTTTTGCAGCAGACGAGCGTGGCAGTGCTGGCGAGACACAGAGGAACAGAAAGGGCTGTGAAGCAGGCTTTGCTGGGACCAACAGAAGAGGCTGAGAGCGGGACTCTGCGGCATTACGGTGGACACTGGTGCTGCCTCCCAGGGCAGGTGCAGGAGATAGTTTTCCTGCGCTGGACATGACTGAGCTGCCACCCAGCTCAGAGAACAATAAAGAACTATCAGGACACCTGTGAGTTGTGAATGCCCTGGTCTGCGCCATGCTGCTCCCTTTTCTTGCTCCCTTCACCTTACTGGCTTCAGCGCACCCGTTTCTGGCTTGGCTCTGGCTACGCTCTGTCTGGACAGGTGATCTGCTCTGGTTCAGAGGGCAAGCTGGTCTGAAACGGGCTCCGAGTGAAATGGTGCCAGTGTTTCAGCTGCCAGGTACCCCCAGGGCTGTGTTGTGGTTGCTTCGTTGCAGGAAGCGGTTGTGGTTGAGCCATACCCCAGCATCTGCAGGTCTGCTGGATGTCAGCAGTTGAGGTAGCCCAGGACTTCTCTCTCTGTGGAGTAAGGAGGAGTTCCGGCAGAGCTGCTCCTTGCTTGCCTCCTGTGGCACATGCTGCCTTGGCCTTTTCCAGGGGGTGTTGGAGAGCCTGATTTCCCCCAGCAGTGCTAGAGGGGAACTGGGATCTGCTGTGTCCTGGGGAGGAGCGACTGCCAGGCTCACCGCAGCGCTGGTGGAGCCGGGGCAACAGTGTGGGTGAAGTGCAGGAATTAGGACGATCGCTCCTAACCCACCTGAGTCGAGGGGAACAAGAGCTTCCCTGGGCAAGGCAGGGGCTGGGACGCTGCCCTCGAGGCGGGAGCAGGGGGTTTGGGTCGATGAGAGAGAGGCAGGGCTCTGCGGGGCCCAGGCTGCAGGTCTCACCCCCTCGCTCTGGCTGCCGGCCATTCCTCGCC